GTCTGTCGGATGCAGCGATATTTGTACAGAGCCGCAACTGCAACCACCATCACGGCTTCCATCCCTCCACCGTCTGCAAGATACCTCCGGCATGTTCTTTGAAGATATTCAACAATAGAGAGTTCGCTCAGTTGCTATCCCAGAGTGTTAATCACGGTTTTGAAGCTGTTTATGAGTTGACTAAAATGTGTACAATTAGGATGTCTTTTGTGAAGGGTTGGGGGGCGGAGTACCATCGTCAGGATGTGACGTCCACCCCCTGCTGGATTGAGATCCACCTTCATGGTCCCCTGCAGTGGCTAGATAAGGTGCTTACGCAGATGGGTTCCCCTCACAATGCTATCTCGTCGGTATCTTAGCCCGACCTCCATACTTAACCCCCACCGTATCCCATGTTGAATTTCAATAACTCGATAATCTCAAAAAAGAAGCATTGTTATAACCTTTTCCGGAACTGTGGCTTTTTGTATATTTACTTGCATGAAACTAAATCTAATCTTATGTTGAAAATAGGACTGGTATGGAACACATGTTCGTACCTACTGAAAATTTGATATCATAATCACATCTGCAATCCTTAGTGGTAAGCAGAGACCATGGACCATTTGGCTCCATGATATTATTTTAATATAGATAATGCATTTATTATGGTTAATTTACGATATCATTTAATTAAAAAAAAAAATTAAACACAAAATTTTTCGTCACAGTTTCGATTTTTTTAACATCCCTGAAGTAATGTACCAATGGAACTAATATATCTGAAATATTAAAATATTTGTCGAGCCCCAAAATTTGTTCTTGAATAATTCAGCTCAAGTTATGTGTCCAAGTAAATTTAAACGTAAGACGTATTTAGTGTAACTATTATAAAGACATGTATATGTTAAAAAGTGAATATACTCGTGAATGTTTATGACAACAAGATATTATTTGATGTAAATATGTCTGTTTGTATTGAGGTTACATTCAAGTAACGTCAACAGTTTGACAGAAGCTGGCAACACTAAATGTCTACTGTCAATTGTACACATAAATTACCATTGAAGGTAATTTTTTTATATGGTAATCATAATTGAAAAATGACAAGCGATTTTACAACTTTGTATATGTCGTTTAAATAAATACAATTTTATATCTTTTACACATGCACATATTAAGAGAAAATATAAAAAGGATTTGTGGCTCCACAAATTAGGATACCATTTTTAAGATGTAAAAAATAAACGATTATTGCGACGAATGTTTATAAAAATTTGATTTACATAAGTGAACATTACCTTTTGTGTCACTTCATAATTTTTTTATTACATGACAATAGTTTTTTAAAGTTTTTTTGAATAGAAATCAGTCGAATTTTAATATATTGTGATTGTTAATTGAATATAAATGAAAGTAGTCGCATCATAAAATATTATTTTCATCAAAAAACTACAAGATAATTTGAAGAATTCATATTTATTGCTCAAAGTTAAAATTTCAAATGGCAACTTCCGTTTAAAAATTTGAATTTTTTAAAATAATTGGCATAGAGCAAAAGAATCAAGTTTTTTATTATATTTTTTTCAACAATTTTTTTAACAGATTTTATACGTTTTTTTTCTGTTTTTGTATATATTGAATAAATTGACGAAAACAAAATTTTGTAGCGGGGCCACATTTATTTTCTTGAGTTTAAGTAAGGCATGTGTTCTTTTTCTTAGTATAAGTAAATGTGAATTTAAAAATGATGTATGTACGAAGTGGAGGGAAATGTGAGGGTACTCGATTTTAAATTGAGTTTTATGTTTCGCGTTGTATTTAGTTAATTAGTACAGTCGGGCACAAAATTATGTTTAGGATTTCGAATTTATTTTGAGGAGTTTACTAGTTTGTCAGGATTTTTTTTTCTTAATTTTTTTTGTTGTTCTTGTGTGAATATGGTTGGTAAAATATTGAATTATATAATATAAGATTTATTGAATCATGAATTGAATGAGTTTTTTGCGAAAAAAAAATATTTTTTATTTTTTAAAGTTATATTTCTTGATATATGTGCAAGTAATTTGATTGTAATTTATTGACAAACTAGAAACCATGTGTAGTGTTTGATATATTTTGAAGGTACGTAGTTTTTGTTCGTGACTGTACTATAGTACAAATTGTGCCATTTGAATCAGGTTTCCTGTTTTATCGTTTTTAATTTTGTTTTCAAAATTCAAATATCGTTTTTATATCTAATTGATTTTGGATTTGTTAACTATGTTTTAAAAAAATATTTTATATTTGGAAACTGCAATTGTACACAGGATGTTCTTTTATAATTTAGTTTTTAAAAAATCTCAAAGTAACAATTCTTGCTTTTTTAAATGGAAAAAAAACCAAATTGGGGTAGCGCAGGTAAATAAAGATAAAATTGATCTCAAGATATGAAATAAGATGTTTTTAGTTCCTCCGGATGTGTTGTATCTGCGCCAGCCTCAGCCCCATCGCCTTCGCTAGTGCAATTGTTCAAAATATATTATAAATGTATATTTTATCAAATACAAGTTTATTATTTGCAAAATATTACTTTTATAGTAAAAAAATCTATTTTAATCAATGACTGTATTAACAAGCGCTAACATAAACAAATAAAGTGTTAATATTATTTGAAAACTCAATAATTCTGACCAAAAAAATTTTTTTTTGCTTTTTAAAAATTTTATAAAATTGTAATTTGTACTTGAGGTCATATTCTAGTTACAATATTTACCAAGTTAAATGTTTATATACCTGGTGTTAAAACTCTATGTACAATAAGCTTGTACTAAATACCGTCCATTCATTATTTTGACTATTGGATTACAAGATATCTATTTAAAAAAAAGTCATAAAATGTATGCGGCGTATACTATTTGTAAAAGATTTAATGCATGCATATGATTTTTCGGAAACAAAACTTTTAATATGGTCCCTCGAGCCTGATATATATGACAATAAAATAACCTTAAATAATTCTAATGCGCTGTATACAATTAATAAGAGAGTTACGAACCAATTGTCTTATCCGTCAGTAATGCTTTCTCCTTCTTTTACCTTCTTTCTCTATCTTAAACGCAATCAGCTTTTTATACGCTTTACCACTTTATTCTAACAGTGCTTTAGTTTTGTACAGCGAAATGCCTTAACATTTTATCTACAAAACTGTTAAATGATATTTTATTTTAATATACTTTAGTATATAAGAGTATAGTCAATAAACAAGGGTTGTTTCCCGTTTGTACGTCAGGTCTACCGGTCAATCGGCCCGGTAAATATTTTTTTCCGTTCAATCGAATTTAAATTATAGATGCTTGTAAAATAAGTTATTGAAACTTACTTTTGTTAATAACCAATAATAATTATTATTCAATATAAAATGCAGGCATCGGTCGAACGGGAATAAACATCCTATTGGGCTGATTGATAGGTGGACTTATCGTACGAACGGGAACCACCCTAACGAGTTGTAAGCCTTAACTGACTACATGTTGAATTTACCTACAGTATGTTAAAAAATTCACAGAGCTTAGATTTTTTAAAAATAATCATGTAAAATTTAACTACAATTTATAAATGTGCTTTTATTTAAATGTTTATGTAAGCGAAAGGAGCTTGAAATTATACACAAATATGTTTGGATTTATTGGCAAAAAAATAAAAATCTGTTTCAATCAATGCAACAGAACTATGGTTTAAAAAAATATACTAATTGAAAACTCAGATAAAGAAAAAAGTGCCTAAATGTTTGTCTTGTAGTCTTAATCTAGCATTTGTTCAAATGAAAAAAATATAGGACTTAAGTCCTATATTATAAGTAAATAAATTATAAGGGAAATTTGAAAAATGTTGCCATTTAAAATACGTGAAAATTCAGTGTCATTTTTATTTTCCATCGTTTAAAAAATTACAAAGTTGCTTTTACAAAAAATTCTATTATTTTCTGAATGAAAATGCGTTTTTTTAAACTAATGAAACAAAATATATTCTAGTACTGTGAAAAATAAATTATTTGAACAATAACAAAGTCATTTGTGTTTTCTGGTAATTTTAAGAAATGCCTGATTTAATAAATTTATGTAAGACGGTTTGTATGTATTTATGAAAGTAACATTTGTATGGAATTCGTTCAGCTGTTTTATATTCCCGTACCGTTTGAATAATGTTTAAATAGACGGCCATTGTTTTGTTGTGTGAGTGAAATGTAATATAGTGATGTGCTCGGTTTTGAAATTGTACAAATTGTGAAGTGTCCTTTACGCTGTAAGACTGTCTATCGATACGTCGCTAGTGATGCGCCCGATGTCGATAGATACGTCACAACTGTTGTAGGTTAGGTTTATCGTAATAGATGCCATTGTTCATGTAATTTTTATTATTGATATTTTTTTTCTCCGTTTAGCATATAATAAAATTTCTTTTATTTAGAATTTCTGTGTATGATTTTAAGGAATTTGTTTTAATAACCCAAGCAACTCGTAAATAAACAAGGGGGCGTCCATAAAATACGTGAGGTGTTATTTTTTAATTTTCTGAAAAGTTGCGTTATATATGCCGAACACCTTCTTTCTCCAACGTAAGTGGATGAGATTTGACTGGACCCCCCCCCCCTTAAACACGTCACGTAATTTATGAACGCCCCCAACCAGAATTACAGTCGTCTCGTAGACAAAAGATCTGTGTGTGTGAGAAAGAGAGAGAGAGAAAATATTTTTTTTTTATAATTGTTGATTTTGTTGACCTTCAAATATAGTAAGCCCTCGTTGGCACAAATCCCAGTTGGCACCGCATTTAGTGTTGCATTTTGAATTCTAAGTAAACTAACACGACTTTTCGTTGTAATACATCTACTAAATACGATGGCTGTTAGAAGTATTAAGGCCTGTCCCACCACTGGCTGATAGAGGTTCAGATAGCTTAAAATGAAGTCACTGTCAGGTAAGGTAACAACATTTCCGATATTTTCATGACATGTTCAATTGTTTTTAATTTACCATTCAGTGGGACAGGCCCTTAGTCTCAAAAGAAGTGGAAATGCGATCATTTGGACTTATACAATTAGTAGAATATCCGCATTGCTACCCCATTATTTACGAAAAAGCAAAAAAAAAATGGTGTAGAGGATGGTATTATGTCATCCCGTCAATTCCCTTTTTCAAACAGAAAAGAATAGGTATTTAGTGTAAAATTAACGGATTATCTGTTTGCTATTAAATTGCTAACAGCACCTATCGTTTTTGATTGATATCAAATTATAGGTTAGAATGTATCGACGACTACTTTCGTTGATGCAATATGTTAGGTAAGTCCCCTAATTATGCCACTTACCGGGTTAAACCATGGTCGCTATGTAACAGTAGCGAAATAATATGCAATTTATCGCTCACTGTCTCGCACCTGCGGTGAATAGTAATGACGCAAGTGTCATGGCCGCCACGAGTGAAAATTGGACGTTTGTGTCCTGGCTTCGAAGGACTCTAGAAAGGGTTTGCAATGATTGAGGAAAACTATTTAACGAAGTAATCGAGATATACCCCAGTGGTTATTTGTGCACTATATGTCAATTGTTTGCAATACAATTCAAGTATGATTAGTTTATTTCTAGGAAGCCTTTGATAGTTCGTTCTGAAACCAATAGAATGTTGATTAAATTGGAACTAAAATGGTTTCTATGTTGTGATTCTGTTTTAAGAAAATTAATTTAAATATGCGTTTTATGTGCAAAAAGCATGAATTAATATTTTTACTAAGGAAATACTTGATAAAAATGTTACAAATAACCGATTAATGAATCTTGTATTTAAGTTCTTGGATTACAACTTAAACTTGTACTGCATCAAGTTACGTATGCTTAATTAAGTAATATACTATTGTTTACGGAAGTGAGGCAGCGCAGCGATGGGCGATGTATTTTTTAAAAGTGTTCGCATTTATTGTGTCTATTACGTATTGAAATACAAGAACAATATCAATTCAATGTTTTTGTTTTACAAAGTTATAGATAAGAAACTATAAAGTTTTATTATTACAAAAGTACAAAGTGGCTGTAAGAGCTTATGAAAGTGATTTTTTCTTTATTTGTTTTAAAAAAAAACTTAATTTAAACAAGATGATCAGTGGTTTACTTTGGTTATGCAATAAAAGTTGCAAAACCTTTTAAAATAAGAGAAGTTAATAATTAAACATTAAAACGCATTTCACGAAGTCACGTTGCGTTTGATAAATGAACATTGACGTATTGATATAGACTAGGAGACAAACATTAATTTGAATTGTCTATTTTTGGTCTAGCTTTATACATCTTTTTGCGTAAAATTAAATATGGTAAAGGCTGGTGGTCTATACCTAGAAATCTGTCTGAAT